GGCTGACACCCATGTGGCTCAGGAAGCTCTTACTGAATATAGACCCAGGAGCTCCCCATTTAAAACTTTCTGGTTGGTCCATAAGAGACCTCTGAGTGTTTTACCTCAAATGAGGGCTTGTCAGACATTGTGGGGGTAGTAAATAACAATTTCCTTTATTACTGCTGCCCACTTGGGATCGTGAGTTGCAATATTCAGAACAAGGTTATTTTCCTTCCCTTTGGTTTGCTGCATTATACCTGCCCTGAAGACAGCTGTGAGATGCATATCTGCCTTTTGAAACCATGCCCTTGCAGTGTCTGATGTTCCTTTTCACATTGCAGTGCCCACAGCTGTTTTCAGGGATTTTTCTAGGAGTGGAGCATTAGCAGTGTGCAGCACAGTGTCTGCACTCTGAGTTGTTTACAAAACCATTTTACTGTCTCTCCCCTTTATGTCTTGTACTCGTTGTGGGTTCATCTCTCTCCTCATTTCAGGAGGCATTATTACCTTCTTTATGGAAGTGAAATACTTAAAAATGTGAGACTTGGCTGTTAGAGAATGGCAATGATGTTGTGCCTCTGTGGGCACCTAAAGAGCACCTTCCCTCCTCAGGGGGGAGGATGCCCACTGCCTGCTCCAAAACTGGCAGCTCCTCATCAAGAAAGGGCCAAACTTCCTCCTGATGTTAACCCTGCAGCTCCAGTGTGACAATTCAACAAATCCCCTCTAATGTTGTGTCTGTTTACTAGGAAATTAATTACTTCTTTTGGTTTTTTTCCCTAACTGATTTTATTTTGGGGATGGTAAGTTGTTGCTTTGCCATAGGGGGGGAAAAATCAAAAGAAGAGGCACATGATTTCTGCTTCTTCTGAAATCACAGTTTTGTTATGCTGAATAGCTGCAAACTATTTGCATTACAATGTACTGTAAATAAGAGATGCCACCGACTGAAGTGTAAACTGAGCAAAATGTGGGGAGCTCTCAGCACAACGGGATTTAAATGGTTTAAGGTGAGATTGGACAGAACTCCAAGGTGAGAACACAAGGTGCTGGGTTTTGGGTCTCACATAGACCCTGTGGTCAGCAAAAATCCTCACCCTAAGATGCCCAGATGATCTCAATTTTCAGTGTAAGTAATGTAATGTGTGTGGTATAGGTGCCAAAACCATCAGGCAAAGAGGATGGGAGGGAATATGAAACCCTGTAGAACAGGATTAGGCAGGATTAAAGTCTAAAATGATCATGCTGCACCATGTAGCAGATATTGCCACAGCCAGCTCAGTAAAACTCAGTGGGACACTTGACATTGCACATTTTCAAGCAGCAAGTCTTAAATCTATATTCATGTGGAACCTTCTGCACTCAGTCTGGTGGGAACAGGAGCACGGCACAGCTTCAGGTGCTGGCTCAGGGGAATAAAGCACAGGCTGCTGCTGGCAGGGACAGATCTCTGCTAGGAAAATGGAAAGCAACTGAATGATGTATGTAATTATGTTTGTTTGCAGGGCTGTGTAATTTCTACAAACCCACTGAGAATCCCTTAAACCTGAGATTAAAACCAGCTATCGATATATTTTTAAAGTTGTCTGTATGTAATTATATGTAGGTACATAGCAGTTGGTGTAATGGTGTAATACCTGCCAGTTCAACAGCCCAAAGCATATAAACATTTACCTTTATAAATTAAATCATACACTTAAATGCTTTGCTGGACAGAGAAGTACTTAAGCATTTTGCTTAAATGTTGGGCTGAATCAGGTTGGAATGAATTTGAGCTCTTCCCATCTCACTGTTGGCAGGAAACTGCTCACTTAGAGCTGACCAGTGTCAGAAAGCTGTTCCAGAGATGTGTTCTTGCATCAGCACTGTGTGTCATCAGCCCTGTGTCCCTGGTGCTGCTGGGGCTTTGGCAGGGTGGGAGGACCAGGATGCAGGATCTGTGTGGCAGAGCTGGTTGCAGTCTGGAGCTCTCAACCCGCTGTTCTTCAGCCTTTGCATCAAACACATCTTTGAACTGCTGCAGACTCCAGCCTCTGCCAGCCCCTAGCCATGAGGTAACCCTTTGCTAGGCCCAATATGAGTCATAGATGGGGAGGATATCTCTGGTTTCCAATTAAAAAGAAAGAAATGGTGAAGCTCATAATCGTGAGCAAAAGGTCTCTGTGCGGTAATGGGAACCAGCTGGTGTGGCAGGCCATTGCAGGCTCAGACCTTTGTTCAAAACGTGGCCCCACCATTATCACGGTTGGAAACAGTCCTTGGTGCTGACACAGTAATGACAGCTTCATGTTTTAGACACATCTAATGGCACTAAGTCCTGATCTTAGCTGGCATTTATCAAGATAAGTAAGCCAGGCAGGCAAGAGCATGGTGGGCTGACTGCACTCCTTTTGATAACGATGTGCGTGTTTCCTCTCTTGGAAGAATAATGAACAGTATATGACTGTCAAAATATTTCCCTCTGGAGAGATTCCAAAATAACTGACACTTACATGAGCTCAGTGCCATCAGCGCTGTGAGCTTCCTCACAAACCTGGGAGAAGTGGAGCTGTGACCAGGAGATGTGAGAAAAAAATTCTCCCAGGCTTTGAGGATAAATCCTCACAACTCCCTGTTGTTCTCTCTTGCAATTGGACCTCTCTTGGGAACGGTTTCAGGGACACTGAGTGAGATAGTCCTTTAAAAGGACAATCCTGGTGATTTCAGTGAGGTTGGTTCTCATGTAGCCTTGTCTTACTCTTGCTTTATCTGGAATTTTCACTAGAATTATCCAATCCAGCAGAGAGTCAGACCCTGCAAGTTCGACTTCATAATTCTGGGATTTTCCTTTCTAATCTGACTGGGAAATAGCTCAGCTAATGACTTGTCTTGCAGAATGGAGTGCACACACAGACTGATGCAGAGCTTAATGTGCTTGTCTGGTGCAGACAAGCCCCCTCTCAGCTCCTTGCCTTTGAGAATTCTGGGAATTCATCTTCAGCAAAGAGGCTTCTTCCAGGAGCAGTGGCTGTTTTAGGGAGAACCCATTAAAAAGGCATGGCTGGGAATGTGGAAGGCATTACAGAGAGTGCTGCTGAGCTTCTGTCTAACCCAGAGAGGAGTGTGTGGGGCTGTTTGGAGTCAGCAGTGCTGTGTTGAGCTGGAGAGGGGCAATGGTTGCACTGGGATCGCTGCTGGGACGGTGGAGAAATGCTGCAGCACAGCTCAGGGCTGGAATGTGGGCACAAAGGGCTCTCCCTGCACAGCAGGCCAGGTCATGCTGCTGATTAAACATGTCCTGCCAAGGTGTCATAACGCTGGGCAGCAGGGAGTTAGGAGAGCAGGGTGTGCAAGACTGGATTAAGGTGAGTTTGTTTGCTTTTAATTCTTTCAGATGTAGATTTGTGCCTGTTAAGCTGAGATGAACTTAGATTTTGCTGTCAACAAAGGGCTGACACTCATGCTGATGGAGTGACTCCTGTGTTTTTGCTGACCTCTGTTCCATGCTATTCACTGTAGTTTCCATGAATTTTCTGTATGGGCAGCCAAGAAAATGTCTTGTAGCTGGGGTTATGAGGTGTGTGTTTGTGCGTGCCTGTCAACTTTTCAGATGCCAAAATCCCCCTTTTCCTGAGTGTTTCAGGGTTGTCTGGGGGATGCTAAAGATGACCAGGACAGCAGTAAAATAATATTTATAGAGCTATGTGTTTGTGAAGGTGACTGTGTTTTTCTAGGTAAATAGTGCTGGATTATGCAAAATACTGTGTATGTCCATCAAAATCCTCGTGTCACAGCGAATATCTCCCACACAGTTTGGTAGAGAGCTTCTTTTTAAGTGCTGGTGGTAAACCTGGGATGCTGGGTTAGGTTTTTTTATAGCTTGCAAAGGTCCCTGATTGATTTTTCACACGTTTATTTCCACAGCAATAAGGTTTTACATACTGAGATGTGGGAAGGAAATAAAAAAAAAAAATAGTCACAGGATGTTGAATGTATTTCAAACCCTAAGTGTGTGTCCTTCAAAGACTCTCAGCCTGGGGGGGGGTGGGTAAACTAACCAGATGAGAGGTGGAAAGTTTGCAGCTTCTCAAGTAGGGGATCACTTAATTTCCTCGAAGATGAGGTAATTTGAGTGATAAACCTGGCTCAGGGCTGGTGTCACACTGGCAGCAGAGCTTGGCCCTGCCTTGCTGCTCCATCAGCTCAAACACCAGTTGCTGCAGCACTCCCTGGATTGTCATTTCGTGTTATTTCTGTGTGCTGGCAGGGCAGAGATAAGGGGTTGGGTGTGTGGGAGAAAGGCTCTGGTGATGCAGGCTCAGAGCTGGTGCTCCTGCTGAGCAGCCTCAGCCAGCTCCAGCTGTGCTCCCCTGCACTGTCCACCCAGGCTGGAAACCCCTCCAGCAGAAAGCAGGGGACACCTGACGGCACACAAGTGACAGCTGTGACCCAGAACCCACCCCAGGAGTTGCCCTCACAAGTGACATTTCAGAGAGCTGCAAAGCCTTGATGGAGTTTAATGGGCTGTGGGCGGTTTTGTCATTTGCATAGCAGACATGGTTATTGGGGATATTTCCTTCCATTTCTCACAGCAGCCTGTTGGGAGGCTGGAGTCCAGCCTGGCTCTCTCAGAGCCTCTGAGTAAACAAACAAGCATGCATCCTACTTAAAAAAAAACAGTCTGGCAATTAAAAAAAGACATCTTGCCTTGTGCAAACAGGAAGGGCTGTAAAACACACTTTGCAGGGAGTCGGTGGAAATGCATTCAGTCTGGTTTATAATCACAGCACAATGAAATACCCAGAACATAAATAGCAAGAAATCAATTTTCCTTAGAAAAAGTAAAATAAAGAACATTAAATGATCATTTGACTAGATAACTGCAGTTTGCTTGGTGGTATAACTGTCATCTTGCCTGTGCACAATAATGGAATTAATGCAGAGGGGGTATGGTTTGGATGTCTCCTTCTTTACAGTGACAATAACTCCCTTGTTTTCTCTAGTGAGTAGATGTTTATATTCTAATTTTGTCTCTGCAGGCTACACAGAGCCTTAAACTTGCAAAAGGGATTTGTGAGCAGCCTGCTTGTCAAGAACAAATACTAGTCAAAAGAAATGTGTGACTTATTGACCTTGGGTTCACTGAACCTTCATCTTGATGCTTCCGTACCTCTAAGGAATCAGCTCCTCTGGAAATTAAAGTTCCCAGATTAGAATAGAAGCTTCAACAAAGGACCTGTGTGGCTTTACAAATACACATCGATTAGAGGACTTTGGAAGAGCTTTGTTAGAAAAGTGGAATTATGAAAAGCAAATGTTTGAGAGGTAAGAAAGCAGTTGAGGTCAAAGTTGATGAAAGCCAGACTTTTGAAAATATAGAATTTCTTGTTTGCATTTTGGCTAAAAATCTTTACTCCTTATCCTTACTTGTTAATTTATTAATTTGGAGACTCAGTGACAGTGTCTGGCTGCCCATCTTGCCAAGATGGAGAGAGGCCATGACTTTCAGGAGGACTCTTTTGTTGTGTACCCAATATTTGCTTTGTGTTATCCATTCAAATTAGTTTCTTGCATCTTCCAAGTTTTTAGAAGCTTACAGAAATATTTCAAATTCCAACTCCTAATGTCTGTGTTTAATAATTACAAAGCCATGACGTCTTTTTTTTTTCCTGTTCCCGAAGAAACATATCTCAAGAAATCAGCCCAAAGATTTCTATGCAATGTTAGTCTTAACTTGGTGCTCAAATTTTTGAAAGTGCAGAACCTCTTTCCAAGGCACCAGGGTGAGTCTTTAAGCTAAGATTAAATTTATAACAGATTAGTGTTTCCTATACAGAACTATAGAGAGGAAGTGCATTCTTCCACTGCAGAACAGTGTATTTGTGCACATGTGTGACCATGATGTGGATGTGTTAAATACTTCTGTGATGTGTGTACAAATCCGCAAAACCTGATGGAATGCTATTTAAAAGCATATATATAATAAATTTCATATGCTTTTCATATGCTCAGGAAACATCTTCTGTGTAGACATTAGTTAATTTTTAAAAATGAATTTACTACATTGGTTCCAAGGTTTTAACACCTATATATTTTACCTGTTTAATTACAGAGATATTTGTATGATGAGAAAACTCAGAAAACTGAGAAAACTTGTTTTGCTTACCCCATAATCTGCAGTTTGCTTTGATGATAGTATGTCATAATTCCTCCTGTGTGCCAGTCAAAACAAAGACTTTGCCCTGTACACAAGCAGTTCTTGTTTGGATGGTTTTGGTATTTTGAAATGAGGAGTAAAATCCAAGACAGATTATTTCCCTTCCCATAGCTGAATAAGGATAAGGCTGAAAGTGTGAAGAATTTCAGGCTTAAAGGAACAGAGTATTCAATCCCCTTAACACAGTGCCACTGTGACACTGGGCTGCCTCATGGAGAGTTTGAAAGCAAAAGTAGGAGGGAAAAAGCCCTCAAACCCTTTCAAACTGTCAACTTTTTTTTTGCTGAAAGAGGGTTCTTCAAATGCTGTTACCAATGAAACTGGATGGAAAAATATATCTTTAATATTTTTAAGCTTCTAGAGTTGGATTGCATTTTAGAAGTACTCATATTATCAACAATATTCTCGTATTTGGTTTTTAACGACCTTACCCCTGGGACTTGAATTATTTGGGTACTGGATTTGTCCCACCGCCAGGAGTTTGTTGTAATGGTACTGTGGAATTATGTGACTTAAACTGCAGTTGTTGTATTATGTGCACTCACTGGTATCTTTCTGGCTAGAAGAAAGCTTCACTTTTACCATTGAAACTTTTGAAACTCAAATGGCTGGACAAAACAAAGCACTCCATGAAATCAAATATCACAAAACCTGACAGTGAATACTGTGAAATGCCATTTCCATGACTTGCTCATGACTCTGGTTCGCTGCTGGAGCTGGTTACTGCCTGTCTTTATGCTCCTGCTGGAGGATCAGTTGTCTGAGCCTGAGATTATGCTCATGTTTAAAGACAAGCTCAAGGTTTCTGATTTGGGATATCAATTAGAAGGCAGGGAGAAGGGAAACATGTTTAGCTGCAAAGTTGGAGAGCAGCCACTTGCTGTGTGTGTGTTCCCAAAGCAATGTGGGACCAGAGGGGTTGGGGAAGGGCTGCCAGCTCAGGGGCTTTGTCCCATGGTCTGTCTTTTCTGCCTCATTGCAGCTTTCCTCAGCCAGCAGTTGAAGCTTCTCTGTCCTGCCTTGACAGCCAGTGGTTTCATTTGTCCTTTCTTGCCTGGAAAACAGAAATGATTTTATTTTCTGGTTTGGTTGAAAAGGCTTTGCAGTTATCAGGATTAGCTATCCCTTTAGTGAGTCTGGTTTTGACATTACTGAATCCCAACCATCCAATCCCTTGCTTGACTCTTGAGTTCAGAAATTGCTGAGAATTAATTTTTAGGCTGCGATAGTTTTACAGCCTTCTAGTAATCTGAGCTGAGATAATCCACTGGCTCAAGAAGGGGATAAGAAGAATAGTGAATGGCCTCAGACAGGACACACAATGAAGCTTCCAGCAATGTTCCTGAAGTGCTTTGGGAGAGTTGGTGGTGGGCACACAGAGAAACCAGCTGCAGTCTGGGCTGCCTGTGGTACCCAGGAACTGCACTGTAACCAACCAGGCAGAGGTGAAAAAAGGTCAGGAAGAATCTCTGCTGTTCCCAGTGTCTGTCAGTAAGTAATCATGCAGATAAAAATCACACCACACCCTCAGCTCAACAAAAAATTTATCTATATATCCTTATAACATTACAAATACAAGCCTCAGGGCATCTCTTGTCCTTATCTAAACAAAAGTCTTCTCTGGAAACCTTAGTCATGCAAGTTATGGCATGAAATCACCCTTTCAGCAGAAAAATGGTAATTTTGCATCTGGAGTCAAAGGAGGACTGGCTTGGTGTACAAAGCTATTATGTTCCTCAGATCCAATCACCCTCAGTAATTCAGGAGCAGCTCACAGATCAGCCTGTGAGGGTTTTTATTCAGTGCAGGTATCCAGCCCACTGAACTGTGCCTGGGTTTTTCTTGGGGTCCTGCTGACACAGAAGCTCTGAGCAGTGTAATCTGCCTTCTCTGTGGAAAGCATAGGAAAAATTACAGACAAAAGAAATTAAATGTGAATGACCTGGCAAACAGATGCAAACCCACAACACGGGATCATTGTGTTGTGAACTAAAGTGAGGAGGGGAAAAAAAAGGTTTTTCTAGGGAAAAGCAGGAATTTGCTTGTTGAAATATGATTATCAGTTGCCACTTTTTTGTTTTCCAGATTTGGTGCAGAGTAACAGCTGTACCTTCCCTCTGGTGTGCTGGGTGACTCCTCTACCTCATGACCCCAGTTGTCTGTGGGCAAACACACAAATGGACAAGAGGAGGAGGGAGCTGTGCCCTGCTTGGGCAGTGTCTGCACAGCTCTGGGGAGGCTGTGGAGGATGCAGGCAGGCAAGCAGACACAGCAATCTCCTGGTAGGCAAATCTGTGTGTGAGAATCCTTTCCCAGACAGAGAAACCTCCGTGGGCTCCTCAGTGTGCGTAGCATTAAGTGGCACAGTTCACATTGAAAAGGGTGTTAAAACAGTTCTTTAAAATAATTACACGTAATCATCCTTTTTCTCTGTCTTCATGCTTTAAAAGTAATTTATTTGCCTTGATTAGTGCAGGTAAGACTCAGAAGTGAGCTGAGCCTTGCTTTAGATAATCCAGCTCCCGGGTGGCTGTATTGTTCACCCCAATCTGTTCAAGAGGCAGCTCAGGGGCTTGGTTTCCCTTCCTGACACCATTGAAATGAAGCCTGGAGCCTGTCCCCGTGTGGGTGGTGGGATGCTGTGCAGGGGGAAGGGGGCTGGGCCTGGAGGAAGAGGAGGAGGAGGAGGAAACCCTCCTGGCTGGCTGGGAAAGAGAAGGAAAACAGAGCATGACCTATGGGGTTGTGTCTGTAATGGCTCTGTTACTTTTTCCTTCCCTGGTACTTCTGCAGTGTGCATTACTCCCTGGAAAGGATCCTGCAGCATCAGCTCCCTCCGTGCTCCAGACAGATGATAACTGGTAAGCTTTGATTTCTTCTCTTAATTACAGTGTCTCAGTGCAAAACTTCAAGAAGATCTTTAAAATACTGCTGGTTATTAAGAACTGCACTCCCTGCTTGCAACGTTATTTCTTGACATTGCTCCTGACTTGCCTTTTTTATTTCTTGGAGAGGTGAAATTCAGGCTTTTGTAGTTTTCCTCTTTAGACTTTAAATAATACTGTGTTGCGTCTGCTTTAGTTTTAAATGTTTGCTTTCCCTCTCACTGGGGACCTGGTCTGCCACCCCCTCCTGCAGTCCCCAAATGCAATGGGGGTTTTGAAAGTGCTGTTTGATCTTCTCACTTCACTGTTTGTGATGCTGGGCAGTGATGCATTCAGATTATCACAGCACGGGTAAAATAATACCCAGTTCTTCACTTACATCCTATTACTGCACCTCAGAGAGCTCTCTCACTTAGATTACTCAGGGGAAAGTCAATGACATACAGTCTTTTGATTTCAAATAGAAATTGTTGTGTAGAGATTTAAAAGATACCCTAATTTATTTTGAAATGGCCTGTAATGTGCTGGTGCTTTTTTGATTGTTTCATTAGACTGTGATTTTTCCATCTAGCTCCTATTCCCAAAGCCTACCAAATGATCATGATTTACTTAGGACATCTGTTAAATGCTGGGCTGTCTGGGGAGCAAGGCAAGGGAGCTGCAGTCCTGATGGGAATATTGAAGGCAAGCAGTGAAGCAGGCTGTGATCTCCCAACCATGGGGCAATTGGAGCCAAGCCTTGCTGCAATCCCTGCAGCTTGCACAGAAATGTGTCCATCTCCAGAAATGCTCTGATTAACTGCTGGTAATAAGCAGATCTAGCTCAAGACCATCTCAAGACATTCAGATCTATTGCTTTGATTTGTTTTTTTTTTCCACAAGAAGAACAAATCTGGAGCCTAAATGGGAGCACTGACAGGATGCTGGGACCTGCTTGGTTCCCCCACCCACAAATGCTGAGACATTTCTGTTTTCAGCTGTCATTATTAGTGTTTTCTCAGTTCTCCTCCCCTCCACCCCCAGTTGAGACCAGTGCTAAAAAGATTTTTTGAAGCAAACCCTGCTGCATTTGAGCTTCCTCCTGCAGGACAGATTTACTCTCTGTGGTTGCCCTGTGGTTGCCACATGTTAGTTACATTAAAGGCACTGTTCCCATATCTAATGAAACAGAAATCCATGAGATGTAGAAAAACATTCTACTATTTTCATGAACATTTCCTGTTCTTCCCTCTCTCCCCTCAACAGTTTCATTAATATGGGCTCAGTCTGTTGGAAGGGGGCTTTTTGTTAAAATATATCCACCCTGTTTGGCTCCCAGCACTTGCAATCCCCAGGAGCATGGGGGTGATATTCCTGTTTAAAGAGGAGTGATGGATTTTTATCTATGAAATATGAGCCAGTATCTGGGGTTCCTAATGGTTTATAGCATTGCAAAAAGCACACTGTGAGTCAATACAAGTTTTACCTGTGCAAAGGTGATTGAAATCTGTACAAAAAGGGAATTTTTGGGTTTGATACAATAGCCAGAGATAGTGAGATCTGCTCTGTTTGTCTGTTTGCACCTGAAGAATAAGCTATAATCTGAAGAGAGGGCTAGAAAAAATACTCAAGACAATTTCTAAGTGTGTTGAGGAATCAATCCTCACAAAGTGTTAAGGGAAATGTATAACTTCAGACACAAAACAAGCAGCGCTCTCTTGGAGACTTGAAATGGTCTATGCTTCTGCATTTATAAGTTTTATTGTTGTCATAATAGGAGGTTTAAGAGCACACAGGGCAGAAGAAAAGTTGGTGTGGTTTTGGTTTTTTTTTCCTTGCTTATAATTTTTCAAGTGGGTGGATCAACCCTGTGTAGGAGGGTTCAAATGACTCTGTGAGCTGAGAACTGGAGCTGGGAATTCTTTCCCTCCAAGTGCTTGAACTCTCCATAGAATCAAATCATTTTGTATCTGGACTTCAATATAAGGTTTAGTCAGAGAGGATGGCAACAGAATTTCACCATGAGTCATATTCTTAACCCTGCTCCAGAGGGCTCTTCTTTTGCTGCATTAATCTCTCTGTAGCTCCCTTGTCTGGCTGTCAGATGTGTTGGTTATTGCTGGTTTGGGTTCTTTCTAAATTAGGTTATTTTTCCTGTGCTTTCAGTTCTCATGGTGGTGGCATTTTCAGCCTTGCAAGGATTTTTGTTACCTCTGCAGAGTAGCCCTGTCTTGTGCCATGCTCAAGCAGGTTAATTCCAGTCCTGAAGGGAAAACTGCCTGGGAGGTTTCCCATAAAGAAACTGATCGAATTCCTTTGAGCTGGTAAAAGATTTCTGAGCTTTGAAACATGCCAGGCTCTTCCTTACAAGGAATTCATGTCAATTCTGGAGCAAGGCAACGATAATTTAAAGAGAGGATGATATCTGCAGGTCTGTGACCCGAGAGAAGCCCTTCCAGTAGTGGCTAGAAGTTTCTATAATGAAATCCCAAACCCTGTGAGAGATCCCAGGCTTTGCTGCCAACCTGAAACCCGAGTTAGGGTTTGGTAGCTCCATGAAACTTTCAAGAGAACCGTGACCAGTTTTTGATTTCAGCTGAGTTTCACAGCGGTGCCATAGGTTCATTTAAATGCTGAATATGTGGAAATGAGCTCCTCTCCTTCCATGTGAATGTTAATTTAGTACACTTTGTTTAGCTGCGATGGCAACACAGTTTTTGGAAGCGTTCTGTGTGCATTAGTCATCAATATCTGAGCCATGTTTCTATTGTGCTCATCTGCCAATGGTCCTAAAAAGCATCAGCAATTCATCTATTCCAGCTGGGACAAGAAAGCCTGACAAACTGCAGTGCTGCATTGAAAAGCAACTAAAAATGGAATCATAGGGCATGTTTATTGTATTTTCATGACTGCAGCAGTCAGGGACTGATTTTCCAGCACACTGCAGCATTTGGGATCACCGCTGTGGGCTGTCCTGGTTCGTCCCACAGGATGAATCAGTTGGAATTCTGCAGCCTGTGTGGAGGACCCTGCGCATCAGCACCCCCTGATTGGTACTGAGGGGGCAGAGAGCTGCATTGAGGGCAGCTGCCTGGCATGATGCTACTTGTGCTTTGCTGCCTGGTGCTAGGGTGGCAATTCCCCATGAAGGTGAAGAGTTAGGGCTGCCACTTTGAGGTTCAGGCTGGGAGGATTACACTTGAGGTTCACCTGAGGTCCTGAGGTGGAACCTCATGAATCCAGCTTTGACTTCTGCTCTGGGAGCTTTGCCTGACCTTGTGCTCAATAGTTTCCACAGGGTGAAGATGTTGTTCCTCCCTCTGCCTGTTCTTTGTTTCTCTAATTAAACTGATGAGTGAGGATGGCCCTTAATCAATGAAACAAGAGAGGGGTCTCACAAAGCTAACTTTAGCTGGCTGGTTTCTTTTAGTGCCTGTAGCTATTAGGCTTTTCCAGAGGCTGAATGAGGGTTGCTAAATGGCAATTCCTGCTCTGAATGCCATGATTAAATCTGCTCTTTGTGAACCCCACTTTTTCCTTCACACTTACACCAAATACCACATCTGCTTGGGTTTGGGGAGCATTTTTGCCATCTGTTTTCAAGGCAGTCACCTTAGAGAGAGGTATGTGTACCCCACTGTGCCCTGCCTGGTGCTCCTGTACTGGTGCCTGTGCTGCTGATCCTGGGGAGCACTGCTCTCAGATGAGTTGATTTATCTGCAATTTATCAAGAGGAAAACAAGGCATAAGAAAATCCTGCAGAGTGGTGGTGCCCTGCATCTCCTCCTGGCTGGAAGTGCCCTGGCTGGCTGCTCCATCACATGCTTGTGAGGAGGGGGACTGGGCCTGGAAGGTTTTTAAGGTCAGCACCATCTATTCAGAGCAAGAAGAGAGGAGGTGTGACCTTTTTCAAATGGTAAGCTTTGTCAGTGCTCCCATTGGGATTTTCCCCCAGGTGACTGCTTAAATGTCACTTGTGGTAAGGCAGGGCATTGGAAGCACTTGCCTTTCTCCTTGGAGAGGCAGCACAGGGAGATTCTAATTAGCCACTAAACAGAGAACGTCCTTTGCTTTCCTAAAGCCAAAAACATCAGAGAAGTGAATAGCAATGTATTTTTCATATCATCTCCGTTTTGTAAAAGCCACACTTCTTGAGGATGTCAGTTTCTCTAGCAATGAAAAACCCCTCCTGTATAGCTGCAATTAACACTGCAGCAATAACTCAGTGCCATACATTCCTCGTGTTTATTGATTAGTGAACAAGCCCCCTGGGGTTTACACTGCTTCCAACATATTTGGTTCCAGCTGAATACCTGCAGTGTGCATTGATCTAAGAGTGTGATTTCCCCTAAATATCAGCCATCCTATTGCACCAGCCCTACATGTGCTGCTGTAGCTTCACAAAGCAAGTAGCTGAGAATGAAAAATGGTGTGAAAAATGAAAGGGCACCTGTTCCAGGCTCTGCTGACATCCATGAGCTCTCGCTGTCACATTGAGGTTACACCTGCAGAACTCACTTGGCTCCAGCAGTGTGATTTCTGATTTGTATTTGCATGTATGAAGAGAACCTGAAGTCCCTCGGGGGCTGTGGCAGCTCATGGCTTCAAAGAATCGGGTCCCTGCTGCAGAGAAGGACCAGATATCAAATGGATGCTCATTTCTGTGAAGCTCTTGTTTTCTTTGTATGAGCTACAGATCATTGCACAGGCATTTCCAGTATAGGTGTGGCTGCAGTAATTACTGCTTACTCTTTTGAAACCTGTGCTTACAAAACACAGCAGGCTGTGAAAGCAGAAGAGCAAGCTGTCCAGAAGGGCCCAGTGTGGCCAGCTGAAGTTCAAAGATTAGGAGCAGAGGAATGCTTGGCAAGACAAGGGCTTCAGCAAAACCTGTGCCTGGTGGGCCCTGGAAGGGGCAGGTGAGCTCTGCTGAAAGGCCAGGGCAGGTGGCAGAGGGAGCCAAAGGGGACAGATGGATGTGAAGGAGAGGAGGACTGCAGAGAGAGGGTGGTGCTGGTGCTGTAGGAGTAACAGGCTGGATGTGTTTCAGCTCATCAGCCTCTCATCTATTTTGAAGTTGATAATAAAGTATGAAATAGCATGTGGCAAGCAGGATGGAGGTACAGACAAGCTTTCAAATCAGCATTTAGGGGCAGGGTAATTCTGCATTTCTATTCATAGCTGTGTAGCAGAAAAAGCAGAGGCTGCATGTGCACGAGTGAGAGGAGCCTGATATGCAAACGAGAGAGCATTAATACACCAGAATTGGGGATTTCTCCTTTCAGCTGCATGCAGTGCTGGCTCCTACCAAGGATGAAGATCGCACACACACATCTGGCACGGCCTCTGCCAGAGTTTGCTGTGGAGGGTGATGCTGTGAGGGTCTGGCTGTGCTCTCCTGTTCTCTCAGAGCTGCTCCATCAGGGTGCCTGTGCTGGAGCTGCTGTAGCCCCACAGGGATGAGACCTTCACCTCTCAAGTTCACCCCCAAACCTGCTTCTCTATAATCTAAGGTGTCCCTCTCCCCATGATGTGACCTTACCATGGCTTTCTGCAAAGACCTGAAGAAATGTCCTGCTTCCAAAATGAAGGGGTTTTTTTTAAGCAGCCTTTCTTTATCTTGTGCTATGTTTTAATGAATGCTGCAGCAGCCATAATGGAGAAAGCTGTGGCAGGACTGCAGATGAGTGTGTGAGGATGTTATTCTTGTTAAAAGGCAGGGCTGAGGCTTTGGTGGCACGAGGCTTGGCTGCAGAAAGCAGGGAGGGCTTCACCCTGAGCTCACTCAGCCCTGCTCACCCAGAGCAATCCCAGCTGCTGCTCTGGGCTGTGCAATAAGCAGCACTCTCCAAGGTTCATTAGGCCCTCGCCTATTAAGGGCTTTAAAAACTCGGGTCAGGACCTTGAAACAGATCTGCAGGCTGGGACTGAGCAGAGTATGTGCAGCAAGGGGAGTTTTGGTTCAGCTCCAAGTGGATCAGGGCCTGTGGAACAAACCCACCTGGAATTAATTGGAAGTGCTGGTGGCCACTTTTGGCAGAGAGGCAGGGCCAGGCCTGGAGGCTGGGAACACTCTGCCCTCATCCCCTGGGCACACTGGGGGAGCCTCCTGTGGGAGGTTTGTGCTGGCACTTCCCACACTGAATGTGCTTTGTGAACTTGCATTTCCAGAGCTGTCAAGGAAAAGTCATTCCCTGTAATAACAGACATGTTTTATTTTCTTGTAGTACAGTTGCATGTGTTTGTTTTAGATGTAAGGAAGGATTTTTTTTTGTTACAATGAATATGGTAAAACACTGGAATGCATGGTCCAGATTGGTGGTGGATGCCCCATCCATGGAAACACTCAAGGTCAGGTTGGATGGGATACTGAGAAACCTGATCTCATTGAGGTCAATACAAAGGGATTGGACTACATGATCTCTACGAGTCTAATCCAACTCAGACTATGCTGTGATTTATTTTCACTCTAACCATGCAGTACCAACAAGAAGGCAGTGCTTAGAATGACACAGCTTCTTAAACATAAACATGACTTTTCTGATCTTCTCTCTCCACAGGCCACGTGCATGGCAGAGTAATTGTGTGGGGTGCAGGACTCTACTTGTTAAACCCATGGACATGAAGCTCACCAGGAAACTGTCTCAGGTTTGGCCAGGAGTTTTAGGTGAATTCCAAATGTCATTAGGAGGATTTATGGGCTTGTGTTTGATGAACAATGTGCTTTATTTCCTTTCTATTCTTTGGCTTATGAATATGAAAGATTATCTAGCTGATGAGGCCACTGATATTTTAGTATACAGAACAAAGTTGGGATGCTCTGAGTATTCATAAATGTAATCAAGGAGAATTATCCAGATGTCCTGTGTCATTTGGGAATTAAAACTAAGTACAAATAATAAAATCAATACATTCTAGCATTGATTTTTGTTGGCCTCAGAGTCCTGGAGGAGATGAGGGACCTCCTGCTGCAGGAGAGTGGAGCTGGAGACTGAGTGGGGCTGCAGCTGCAAGTCTGAGGAGTGTAAGGTGGAGAGAGGATGCTCTGGTCAATGTCTGAGGGGAATTGATCATAACCTGCATTGGAAAAGTAGATTTAAGAATGGAGACTGACCTGGGCTGAGATCAAAGTGCTGCAGCATTGTGTGTCTTGGTGAGAGGGAGTGATGTGGCCAAACAGGGTTTATCATGCCAGTGGCAGAAGAAGGAAATGTCCTGGTTCCAGCTCTGTCAACAGACTGTTTGTGGGCAGGGACAGGCTACTCTGCCCCAGATTTTCAGTTCTTTCATCTGTTCCCTCCTCCCTGCATCTCCTCTGGCTTCTTGCTGTGTTGTGCTGCAGGAGAGCTTGGATTCGCTGTTCCTCTGTGGAGCAGAGCCTTTCCTCCCCGCCCTGCCCTTCGCAGCACCCCTGGCACCACTGAACTTTTTGAGCAGGACAGAGACCTCCTGCTCCTGGTGCTGCCATTTTCCCAGTGCTGATGCTCCTGTTTCAATTATCTGCGGTTTCACGGTGTTTGGGTGAAATCTGAGGCTGCAGCTCACACACACACAGCTGCTGGACCCTATTTCTTCTGTCTCCTTTTCAGCTCATAGCTCCAAATGAAATCTCAGGAAACTGAAGTTCCAGCTCCAAGAAGTAGGGTAATGATTTGTTTGGTTTTTTTCCCTCCTGTTTTGTGTTGTTCCACACAGGTATGGTGGCTTCCTCCTTGCAGCAAAGGAGATGGGGACTGTGTTCTTCAAGGGGAAATTCCAGTTTGGGATAATGCAAATGAAAACACCATGTGTGTCCTTTTTCATTCAAATTACATACAAAAAAATTGGTGATACGAGACATGAGCAAAGGCAGAAAGGAGCCTAGAGTCTTTAATCTTTAAAATCTATTTTACATGATTAAAAGGATCCTGCTTAGAGAAAAGCAAGACTGGCTATTTATATCTCCATTCTTCTCCCCACTGCTCCCCCTTTTTTTCCCAGAAAATACTGCACAGTCTCACATCTGAAAGACCACGGCTGGCTGCCATTAATTTTAATGCTAAATCCTCATCAGCATTTCAAAACATTATGAAAATGTCTAAGAAACTGTCTTCTAGTAGCTTGAAAATATTGCAGGCAGCAGCCTAAATAATATTGTAAGTGCCCTGGTAAGTACAAGAGCACATGCTGGAAAGGAAAAGAGAAAAATAAAAGGCTTTAGACCACCAAGCACACGTCAGCTCCACAAAGCAGGCATAAATGGATTGCAGGATTTCATGGATGCTGAGAGTTTGAATTACTGGCTGAGCTACACCTCACTTACAGAAAATGTGGTTTTCTTTTTTAGCGAACGCATCAAATATTGAATGCTAGCTTGCTTGTCCACGGACAAGTACATAAATAACCTTACATGGAGGGCTCTGTTTAGGCTGACAAATGCAATTAAATGAATGGAATATGGCCAGGCCCCCCATATTAGTGTTCTGTTACACTGCATTGGTGAGGATGATGGATGCCAATTAAATTGAAATGAATGGTCATAGGTTAAACAAATGATGGCTCTGATCAAAGCACTCCTCCTTCAGCAAGGCATTCAACCTGTCCTAAGCTTAAATACATGGTTTTAAACCATGCTTAAAATTGAGCTTAAGTAATTTCCAGCTTAGGGAAAGGCTGGACCATGGATTTTGGTGTGTTTTTTTTTTTTTTTTTTTTTTTTTTTTTTAGTTTGGAATACCCATGCTTACCTAGTCCATATTTGCAATATCCCAAATTTCACTGGGCTTTTAGGACCTGCTGCTGCTGTCTCATGCTGTTTTGTATTTCTAGTACTCCAGTGGGCTTGGGGAGCCGAGTAAGGACTGTAAAACCTTGTGCTATTTGTGCTTTCATGGATGGTGCTTTCACTGAAGCCCTGCCCTGCAATGGGTTGGCAACAGAGGCTGATGAGTGACCCTTCTCCTGTGGTAGTAAGGGGGATGTTGCCAGTGGAAGATGATTATCCATATCATTAGTTTTCCTTTAGTGAGTATTTTTAAGTATTGCCACATCTTAAATTGGAATTTTTATCCTTCTCTTTCTAAGAGGTTGCAAACCTAAAGCCCCATTTTAATAATTATTAAGAATAGGGGGAAAAAAAGCCCCATGTAATTTTTCAAGAGCAGAAGGCTAAGAAACCCTGTTGTTTTTCCCCAGTTTGCATAGGAACTGGGACAAGAACTCTCCAAGTAAATAGAGTCAAAATGCCAGGGATTGCTGGGAAATCCCAAGGTTTGGGGGGAGAAATGTAGAGCTCAAAACAAAGGCATAGATAGCGAACTTCCTTCAGCTCCTGTGCTGCTGCTTCTCTCTTTGATTAGACATCAAGTTGGAGCATCATCAGCAGTGTGAATTCTGAAGAACACAAGAGAATGCACTTCAGGTTAGAAAGCCTGTCTTTTATTCAGATATTAAAGAAATAAGCCACTAGACTATTCTTGAAATAAATCACTGAGAGGGTTAGGCAGGGGCTGGAGGTGCTCACAGCACATTTTTCACTGCCAGCTCCTTGTAGCCAAGGTGTGTTGTCAAGACCAGCCTGGAGGAGCACTTCCCTCCCTCCTGACTGTGCCTCTCCATGGTGACATCATTAATGCTGAAGGCTGTAATTGACCACAAAGCACAGACCTTTAGTCCCCACCTGATCTTCCCCAGTGTTTATCCACTGCTGGCCTGACCACACAGCAGCCTAATGAGCATTACACTTGACAAATATTGTCATGCCTAAACAGGAGACAGTGATTCTGCTAGGACAAGCAGCGAGCCCCAGGGCACGTCACGCTCAAATAGCAAAGTTAGGAATTAATATTAATTCTCTTCCACTCACTAGGGGCCTGATCCACATCCCTGATGTCAGTTAAGTCTTTCCACTGTGAGCTTTGCTTCTCTGCTATGAAGCAGCACTTTTACGCTCCTTGGTTGTGTTTTATTTTATAATAAGTTGGACAGTAATAGCAGATGGCGCAAACTGTTTTTTTTATCTGGGATCAGGACTGGTCCAGTAGATGGACAAAGAACTGATTTGAGATGAAAAACCACAGGTCCTAATTCCTTCTAGATTTTACTGTCTGGAGTCTTGATACATGTTGGATAGCATTCCACATTTTATGTGCTAGATCAAGACATGGTGAGCAATTTAGGAGAAATGAGAACCTGTGATTCTCTTTGTTGTCTGTTTGCCTGTTGTGTAAAGCTCTGTGTGGCTGCTGTATCCAGTCTGCATGCAGAGCTTTGGGAAAATCCCTCTCCCCACACCAAGGCTGCTCATAAATCCCCAGGAATTGTAGCACCTGTGCTGCTGAGCTGCCTTCCCCCTGCTACCTTATATTCATTTTTCTTTATTATAAACAGGATCAAAAGTTTTAATGGCTACTTGAGGCTTTCTTTCTAGATGCTCTAGTTTATTTTTATTTTATAGAATTTAAGATAGAGAGTAATTATTGCAAAATTAATGAGATTAAAAGTTATGCTTGTATCTAAATATTTCCTTGGTCTGTTTTTCTGGTGTCTAGGCCTCACGGTACTTTTTTTTCTTGTCATAACTTGCCATGATTTACTCAACTGCTGCCTCCTTTTTAATCTATGTCTGACAGAATCCTTAATATCAGGTAGAATCAGATATCCCAGAAGCTTTGGGCTAAATTAACTAACTTTGCAGTAGAGCAGAGAAAGGGGATGCCGTGTGGAAGGGGTGGCTGTGTCTCCAGCCTGCTGCTGTGAGCTGGTTCTGCTTTTTGCTTTGCTCAGAAGGGTTCTAGCACTGATGTTTGCTCAGAAGGGTTCTAACACTGAGCAGCAGATGGGCTGAACCTCCCAGGTGGGTGCCTGGCTCTGTTCTGCTCTGCCTGGCCCTGTGTGGGCACAGATCTGGGACCAGCAGTGCCTGACTCTGTGCGGTTTGGAGTGCCTGGGTTTGTCTGTCAGTCGCAGTGCTGGGTTTATCACCTCTCCCCTGGCTCTGAAGCACACAACCTCATGGTCCTGACCAGCTGCTGTATGTGCTGACAGAGCCTGGGTCAGGGTGGAATTTTGGGCACCCTCAGCCTGTGCAGCTCCAGGCAGGCCGGGAGCACGTTCCCAGACAGCAGGGCAGCTCTGTGCTGGCTCTGGTTGCTGGAGCAGTGTGATCCTGTCAGACAGGGCATTGCTGAGCATTCCTGCCACCAGATCCCCCTGTCTGGGGCAGCAGGAGGCAGCCAGCCCCTCTGAAGGAGGGCAGGGAGCCACGGTGCCACCAGACTGCCCTGGAGTCCTCTGCAGGCCTGAGCTGCTGACAGGAGGTGATTTACAGGGATACACAGCCAGGGCCAAATCAAGCTGAGCCAGCTGAAACAACTGGAGCTCAGAATAGGTCAGGCCTGAATGCAGCCTGGAGCATTTGCCTACCATGGCTGTGGCTGCTGGGGCAGAAAGCAGCATTTGAAGGCACAGTCCTGAGGGCACTCAGGCTGCCCTGGGGGGGTGCAGGGCTGCCCTGGCATCCCTGGCCATTTCCTGAGCCATTCTCCTCTGGGACAGATGTGATTCTTCACATTTGGATCTAATTTTGTGTTCAGAACATTTTGGGCTTGTCAGAACTCAGTGCATCCCTCCGGGTGTCCAGAGCTGCTGAGGACCCCGCCAGGGTCTCAGAGACCCTGACACACAGCCCAGAGCACCTAGGAATTTGATTTTGGCCCTTGAAGCAAGTTACCAGCTTTGTATGAGGACCTGAAAGTCACACAGGTTTGAGTAGTGTAATAACAAAATGATCACAGAGTGAAAATGTAGATTTTAGGATTTTTGGTATGGGGGTTATGAGGACAAGATGGAGGAACTTCGGCAGGTCTAGCCTTTCTTCTTTTTCTTGTTCTCCATTCTCTGCAGTGATGTTGGCACTTTGGGATTGGTTTAGAGTAGAA